ATCTTCAATGTCTATCAAAACTCTTAATATTGACAAGGAACAGGTAAACTTAGGAACAAAATGCAATTATCTAAAATTATGAGAAGCGCACATCTATCAAAGGTATTTTGGTAAATGATAATTTCAGAACGGGTTTTACATTAAATACCAGGTAAAATAATGATTAGTATATTCTTAGATAACATATATTTCGAGGTATTTTGAAGGCAACACATTTTTCTTTATTTCATACGAATATGCAAATACATGAAAAAGACAGATCATCGAGTGTTTGTACGTCTTTAGCTAGTAAATATATCTTCATGTATCATTTCAACCACCGGCGTGCAGTAAGCTAACTTGATAGCTTCTTTACATTACACAATCAGTAGTTCCTGGAAGGTAGAACCAACAACACCGAGGGGCAAGTGGATTTAGGAACGTGACTTGTGGAGGCTCAGAATCAATTCAAACACCGCTGACCGTAACCATCGAATTTACTTATTCATTTAAATTTTCGATTATAGTCTTCTTTACACTTATATGTGCTTAACTTGACCTTTATGAGAGAGGCATTTATGCCATTTGTCACAAACAACGGTCATGATAAAATCGGTGTCATGTATAATTTGTATTTGATAATATAATTTCTGCAAATTTAAGGTGAACTTTTCTTTATACATATTCTTTACTCGTGCTACACCATAAAACGCTAGCATATCATTTGTTGTCAACGAACCATTTTGTTATTTTAGGTGTTAGGTATCACAGTCACTGCTACAACAGGAATATTTACAACTATATCCTAAACATAAAGTGCAACATTATCGATACTGGTAAATTCGTTAGTTGTAATCTTTCTGATTTAAATTCGATTAATAAATAATTGTTTTTATTTAAAAAATACGTTTAACAGATGCAATTCTTTTTTCAACAACTTTCAAAATCATTTTACTGTTTCATATTTACTTGATTGTATTGGTTGATTCTGCGATGAAATTTATATTAAATTGTTAGTAACATTACATGACATACTGTAGAGGGCAGTCGTAAGTTGTTCTCTGAAGTCAATTTTTATAGCATCTTAATTATTCAACAGTGATAAATCCAAGATTGAATGATAAGCAGCTTTATTTGACACGTATGATAAGCATAAAATTATGTTATGCAATTCAACTTAACAACCTAGTTAGCTACATTTATAACACGAGGTGGTCGAAACATGTTAAATAGATTAAAAGTTATTTCCGGATTGTTGATGAACAAGTGACGCCTGGAAAATAAACATTAATCATCAGTTATTTACTAATTATTTTATCATAAACACAATTTATACTCTAGGGTGTCCTAATTTGTTAATGACACTACTATAATATGTAGTATTATTTATTAAACTATTAACAATTCGGTAATTTGCACTCTTTTGTTCGCACTTTGTACACATCTTATTATGTAATAAGTAAATATGATAAAAGCAGTATGTTTATACCGTCTTAAGTAATTGACTGTTGAGTTGAATTCCGTAATTTCTTAATTCAAATCTACAATATATATTAAATTGGAATATTAATATTGGCCGTTCGGCCACGTTTAAGCACTTTTTGCCCATTATCCACAATGTGTTCCATTTCCAATTGTTTGTCGATATTAAATTGTAACAGTCGGTACACCTAGCTATTGCAAAGGCTTGATAAATTTATATGAAGCATCTATGTAATAATCAAATCATCTAGACTATAATTCACGGCCTTTATAATTAAAAAAAGAGGGGCTTCATTTATATACCTTTCATTATTATTGTGTTGTGTGGCAATCTTATGCGAAATTAAACACTAAACTTTCACATAGCGGAATTCTGACGATGCACCTTGTCTGATTTATTACTTAATGCTTTACTCACGCAGTAGGATAAGATTCCTTGGAGATGATTAGATAAACATAATTCTAATATATTATTTTCCATAATATAGATAAATAAAACACAAGTGGAGGTAAATTCATTGTAAACCAGTGATATGTTTCTTCTTTTATTTCATCTAAACAGTATATATAAGATTTACATGAATAATTTTCCAATGATTTTTATAATCAGTAATTAATAAAACAGGGTCGTACTGTCTGTCTCACAATTGATAAAATCTAAACAATACTGTTAAATCATTCTCTTTTTGTATCTTCAATAAACTTGACAAGTAGTATTCTTGCATTTTTAACAAAATCTTACCCTCATTTTACTTTTTTTCACATATTACTCTATGTTTATTTCATGGGTTGATAGCTTTAAAAGTCGACCTCTATTCTATCGCACTAAATAAATTTGAAATATAAATGAAATTTCAGCGGTACATACTATGTAGAACAGTAAGTACTTTGTTCACAAGAATCTGTTAGTTTATAACTTAAAAATCAATTATAACAGGCTGAATGTACAGCCTTATTCAAACGATATAGAAAATAAAGCTCAATTTCTTTGGAAAAGGAATAAAGAGAAATGTGTCTATTTTATTATATTGAAGCAAGGTAAAGATTAATATCTTAACTTCAAGATAGAAAGACCTCACTTTTTTCTGGTAAGCCTTATTTTTCATCCAATAAGAAGCTCTTATTTTAGATTTCGTTCTGCATATTTCCAATAAATTTCTAAAACAAATTCAATTAACTATATCCATTTAAACGTCATTTATTAAGAAAAAGACAAAATTTGAATTTGAAGTACAGTAAGCTACTTTAACACTATCGTTCCCCTTCCTCCTTTGAGATATCAAAATAGGTCATTTATTTCTAATTAGGAAAACTTTCAGAAAATAGATTTCTTATTTATTTTTCTGTGTCTACCTGACAGCCATTTGCTTTGGCAGCACAAATCAAAAAGACATTTTGTTAAAATGAATACATAACCAAAATAATATTTACACTGCGTTTGAAATAGGTCAAGCATATAATGACAAGTCAATACAAAAACAAAGAAGGTTATTGAATAATTATTATTTTTAATGGAAAAATAAAACGTAGCAAGGTGAAAAGCAAATACAGTACCGGTATGTAGTTAGAGATTTGATAACACGGTAGAATATAAAATAGAATACATTTAGGACAAATAATTATAATCTTCTAAGCAATAAACAAAAACAACTATATATGCACCCATTTATTTGAGAATATTTTGAACAGTGATATATTTAATAGCTTTATGAATTTTTGACACCTAAAATGGTAAACAGACATCAGAAAGAAATTTAGGAATAATATATCAAAGAATTACGATGTTGACATACAGTTCTAATTGTTTACAATATTTTGCATGTGTATATTTCAGAAATGAAAACATTTTCAAACAACCGAGAGTGACCTAAAATGTTTAAAATCTAGAATGTAATGTTCAAATACAACTTGCTGTTGCTTTTTTCTCTCTCAAAATTGTACTCCTCAGTTCCAAATGAAACGTTGTCAAACATAATCCAAAACAAGACGACAAAAGCATTATAGGGACTCCATTGAGATTTTTGTTTTGTTATGGCAATAGTGTGTTCATTTTCATTTGTATTGTACAAAATGGACCCACAACGAACAGAACAGGCTAAGAAAAACACAAAAATCGATTTTCAATTAAAATCTTTTTCCTGAATAGTCAATTATATAGTGCAAAATGGTCCCACAACGAAATCGCTCAGAACAAGCTAGGAGCAACACAAAAATCGCTTTTCAATAATAATTTTCGTATATTTCTTTATTGTAATTTGTCGATTTTTCCAGTTTTATCTACATAAGAATTTCCAATTTATGTTTAGCCCTTTGACCTCAGCAGATGTTCTTTGAACACATGACCAAACAGCTAAATTCAAAACTGAGTAAAATGAAATACAGTAAAAACTCCCTAAACCGGAAATTAATTTCCGGTTTATAGATGATTCCGGATTGCGGAGTTTTTCTCTTTTGGCAATGAATTTTACTTTAAGTATAGTTTGTATAGCATGACACAGTAGTAAAACTATATCTCTTTAGATAATAAATATTATGCTTATCATATTTAAAGAATGAATCGACTAGATGTATTAATTCTTAAAATTTGATATTATAAAGATGATACATCCACGTTCATTCACATTTTAGGTTATCACAATGTGTTTCCATGTATGTAATTATGTTTAGTTCCTGTAACATATCTAATAAGAACGCATATCAAGATGATGTAGACAATACAATATTAGTGCATTTAGAGTAAAAATAATCCAAAGTAGACGACAAGAAGACTTTAACCTAAATATTGAAATTAAAGTACGATTTAAAAATGTATGAGTACTGATATAGCGCATTAAATAAACATTTTTATTAAATAAATAGATAAATAAATACATACAAAAATAAATAAATAAATAAACAAATAAATAATAAACATTTATGAGGTAAACCGATATTATATCATAATATTATTTGTATTACAAAACAATCAATCAAAAAGTTAACTGAATTCACATTTACGGATGTTCTTGCAATATAATATAGTTCAAAACCACGCCGAATATATCATCTTAATTGAATAATATATAATAATATAATCATATCATATCAAATAATATTCTAGATGAATACAAGTAATATCATAAGCTTCTAATAATATTAAACAATTATTTTGCATTTATTCACAGGCAATGTTTCGTTTCAAAAACAAAGGCGTTTCAATAAGAAGTGTAATATTTCAAATTAACTTTTCATTTTTCTAGCATGTCCATGGTAAAGAGAATTTGCATGGAGTCTTTTATCTGATATACTTCAAAAATGTGCGCTATGTAACAAAGACATTTGAGATTCTCAAAGCAAAGTAATCATTAATTAACTTAAAATTAGGTCTAGTTACTTGGCAAAATATGAAATCTGCTCGGAAGGAGGGCAATGTAATGTTTTAGTCAGTCGCAGATATAATTGGCTTAATTGCTACTTGAATCAAGGATATGTTTAGTAATAAAACGCAAAACATTTGCATTTTTTTTTTAATCTATCTTGTTTTTATTTTAATCCTTGGTAACAATAAATATCATTAGAACACGTTTATTGTTATACTTGTATTTTATCGTCGGCAGAATTTGATGTTCTTAGTCGAATTATAATGTGTTTATAAGTCATGTTCATATCAAATGTAATAATTTATATTAAAATTTTCCTTTGTGGAGATATTTGATGATATTTTATATCCTAATCGAAATATCAATAAAGTTGTCAGCGTATTTATACTTTTCAACTGATATTTCTAACAACGATTTTGAACTGTGCGCTCTTTAATGCAGCGGCAAAAACTTTTTCTACACGCAGATCTAAAATTAGAATCAAATATGCTGTAGATAATGGGGTTAATGGCACTATTCAAAAAGTACGACCGTAGAAAGAATTTGTACACAGCTTTGCTTGTATCGGACATTTCATCAACAAATTGCTCGTTTATTTGTCGTACAAGCATCAATACTTGATGTGGGATTGAGCTCAATACGAACGCTAATGTAACAACAAATGTAAGGAAAGATGTTTGTCTAACTTGTGCTTGCTTCCTCGTGAACTGTGATGTTTTTGTTTTATCGGATCTAGAGATATTAAATGCTTTTGTAAATGTTGAAGTTGCAATACGCTTTTCAGTTCTTGAAATATTATATCCATCTATTTCCTTTTTTATAATTTCCTTATTGTTTTCCAGGTAACAATATTCACCCACAGAGGTGCATGTGTTAAGTATTGCCGTTACATTACTGACATTTGTACGTGAATAGGAAATCGTTGGTACTTCCTTAACCCTCTCCTTTTTGAAACCTTGCTTTGCATTCATTTTGATGGTTTGCTGTTTAATTTTGAGTCCTATTAAACAGTACAAAACCCATAAAGTTGTTATGCCTGTAACTGCCAATATCCCATACAAAAGAGCATTATAAAATGGTAAGTTTAAGGAAACAATTTCATCTGCGGAAGAACATTCAGTTGCAGTTATATTGAGTTCTGGGATATAATATGAATGTTTACCATATATCAAAAGCGCTGGACACGACAGCAGAACACCAAGAAACACTACCAATCCACACAAACATTTTGCGCCAAATGTTTTTATCTGCCAGCCAAAAGGTTTACATACTTTCCTAAACCTGTCAACAGCAATGATGATTAATAAGAATCCTGAGGAATTCGTTCCTAAGGTGTTGATTGCTCTACACAATTTACAAAGCCATATATTTTCAAACGTGTGCTGATCCAATAAAGTGATAATTTCCGATGGAATACCAAAGCAACAAGTCAACAAGTCTATTAGACCGAGACACACAATAAAGTTTTTTGTTGAGGTGTTTGTTTTATACCAGGTTCGGTATACATGTATTATCACACTATTACCAATAAGACCCCCAACAAATATGATCAACAGGAAAACAACCGTTGGTATCAGTCTTTTAATTTCTGCACTGTTCAGAGCTTCTAAGATATCCTTATCTTTAGATTTATTTATTTGACTTAAATTTGATGTAGTACTTTGCATCATACCACTGAATTCTAGAACTATAGATAAATAAAATCACTATTCTTTATCAATTAATGCTGCAGGGTTGATCTTGCGTTTTTTGTTCCCTCGTCAAAGTTCTATAGATGAAGAAGGCTAAAATCTCAAAAAATTAGAACATAGTCTACGTCATGAGTTGGCAGTAGTTTACCTTTCAGTTATCCGTGAAAGCAAATAAATAAAATCATTTATGTATGTATTTAATAACAACAAAAATGTATAAGTTGAAAATATTGATGCTAACTAAGTATACAGTTGTATAAAATAATAATGATGAAGTAATATTTCGGTAAAGGTGTCCATAGATCCAATATAACTACACGTTTGAATGTTTGACAATGAGTAAAATACGTCGGAATAGCATAAAAGCTATGCAAGAAGATCTGATGTTACAATCATAACAATGTATCATGATATTTACAAACCAAAGTTATATCTCGTATCATTATAATCTTTCATATGAAACCAAAATAAAGATATTTTCCTCACACTTTTTTCCGTTTTAAGCGAAAAGCATCAAATATATGAATGACGTTTTCTAACAAAGGTTTCATAAAAAATCCTTAAAATAATTATTCAAATGAATAATTCTATTATCAAGCATTTAATCAGCACGCTATAAAGAGATAATGAGTTTTTTTATTGACATTGCATCAACACAAATGCTTTTAGTCCAGGCTATATATGACTTTTCAGTGGACTAAATAGAACATATTTGATCCCTATCTTTTCCCAATATATTGTTTTAGATTTATCTTCCGGTAAGTGATATCCCACACCGTAATATGTACAGAATCAAGACTTGCCTTAAATTGTTTAATACTTAAATATTTAAATAATACTTGAAAACAAGGCCAAATGTACATGAGACAGGCCTAAAGCCATGAATAAATAAAAGTAAACTTAAATGCCCATTACAGAAGTAAATCACACATTTAAATCGAATTGTGTTATTCAACTTAAAGAAAACGGGGAAAAACAAAAATATATTGTATTTTGTAAGTTGGATATTGCTTAGTGTATTATTTGTAAACAATGTTTTACTTGGTGATAATTATAAAGCATTGTTATTGAGCTAGATTGCTACCTTAGATAAGGAAAATATCATGAACGCTATCTGTGTATCACAATACCAAAAACCAATCTCAATTATTGAACCATTTTACGAAAATTAATACCATAATGCGTATACTATTCATTTATATTTCTGCAATTAATAGATAGGTGTCTATAAATTAGTACAAAGGGATAGTGAATTAAAGGAGATATAATTGTAAACAATATTCAAAGTAATTGAAGTGATTTTTAAGGTATCATATTTGTTTGTCTATAATCGCATTCTGTTTAATAAGATTGATTGCTTTCTGATGTTTTTATGTTGGCAAGGTGAATGGTTGAAATAGTGAATGATGGTTACGGTTTGTCTAAATGTTGCAAATTTAAAAAATATATTTTACTGTAAATTATGCGAATATTTATATTGTTAAGGTAAGCTTAATTATGCTTCCTCATATTTATTTTGTAGATTGTAAAAGCTCATAAATAATACTCTTGCAAACTACAGAACTTCTTAGTTTGAATAAACGTTTTTGATATTTATTCTCAAAAGGACATGAAGTTGTCATGTTTATCATTAATATAATTATAAACCTAAAGTAATAAATACACGGTAAAATGTACCATTAAGGATTACAATAGTGTTCCGTTGGCCAATAACAATGGGACTCCGACCCGTTTCACCTTGCACTGCAACATTAGGAGAGTATTTGCCCTTGTCGAGGAAAAACTTCATTGCTCTATGTTGAACCGAATTAATGCATGAAAACTGCTTAGTTCCCCAGATACATATACCATATGATATAACAGAAACTGCACAAGCATTACAAAGTTTGTATATACCGCCGGCATTTTTAAATTTAGCAATGAGGAGTCAATTTCATCAACTTAATCGCTTATTATAATTTTATTCCCGATCAAGTATTTCGATTTTATCTTAATTATAAACATAAATTGTTTCATGGATTCCAGAAAATAAATTACAGTTCGTATTATATATGAACGGGTAAATGTATTTTGATAAAAATACATACACATTTATCAAACACTGAAAAACCATTTATAATATAAACATTTCATAATGCAAAAATCATATTAACAAGAATGAATACATGTAAAAAAAGGGATTAAAGGTAATTGTATATCAAAGAATCACGCTTATTCAATTTTCATTAACTATATTCGTTTATACTGAAATAGACTTGTGATCTCTTCTCTTGATTTACTTGTTGAAATCGACTTTGTAAACATTGAATATCTTTAAATACGTAATGTATATGGTCCGAGATGAAGTTTTACACGCTAACAAGAGAAATGATTTGATATCACCAATGACTGCTGTTGTATCCCTGCTGATAAGTCGCAAGATAGGTATATTACAGCGTCATGATAAACTGCCGACATGCTTTTAATAACTAGATAAAGAAAATTGGCTATATCGATATCCTCGTTATCAACACGATTTAACCTAAACATTAAACCGACGACGCCTTCATGTTCAACTTAAATTGAATGCCAATATTTACTATATAAAGAAGTGTCATATATATCACTGTAAACAAAAGAAATATTCTTTTTCTTTTTGCCTATGTTAAAATATAATTATGACATGTATTTTTAATTTCTTTATAGTAACTTAATATTCTATACGTGTAGCACTTTGATATGACTGCTTCCTGATTATGTGGGAATTAAGTTTTACATTAATGTTTTATAAATATACAGAAAAGTTTTGGCTCTCAACATACTTGATACTTGAAAGTATACAAACCTAACATTTAATATCAAATTATTTACTATTATAGCGTTCCATGAGTGTAACCTTATCGTATATTAATTACATGCTGTTTGAGCTTCAATGTACTTTTATTCATGTGTGTTACCTCATTATGTCATGTAGGTACATGGAATGAGAGAAATATTTTTTTTTACTTTGCCTTGACTTATTAAAGATCAAAAGTCAATATTTTCAAAAGTAAAATTATTTTATTTACTCTCGAACCATCTGGAATAAAATGTTTGTTTGGAAGAGTAACTTCTTTTCTGCTGATGTATTTTGAAACGCTTACATTTCCAGTTTCACAACGAATGAAAAATATTTATTCGTTTTTTTGTACAAAAAGGTGGTGTTTCTTAACTAAGATCTCAGCATGATGTAAAAGTATAATAAAACAAATCAAAAAAACAGTGAGTTCTAGGTTGATTGAAAGTTCACAATCATTATTTAAATAAAAAGATATCTGAATTATCTATGATATGAATTTGTTTAATCTTCCTATAGATATTGTGTCTTAAATTAATTCAACGATTAATAATTTCTTAAAACTAAATTCTATTTTTTTTACATAGCCAAAGCATTTAAATTAATGTTTTTTTTCTTACAGTATTAACATGTGTTAAACTGTATGTTTGAATAATTAAACGTTTCAATAAGATTGACAGTTTTCATAACAAAAATGTAGGTGGTTAGATAAAACGTGCATTAAAGCATGATAATCATGTAAATTATCATACTATGATATTTAAAATATAAAGATATTCACTGCATACAGGTGTGCCTAATTTCTAAACGCAACAGATTTCTTTGAATCTTATGAACAATTTTTTTATGACATCTGGCAAAATCGTTTTGTGTTTGAATGTTGTTTTTATCATCTCTCCCTGTCAAATTTTCGTTGTCTAAGGAATACAAAAATGCATCATCCACAAAAAGGAAACGAAACTGTTATTTCTTAATTTGATATAGATATTTAAAAAGGAGCATGGTGTATTATAATCAATGAATATAAATGGAAAACCTTTAAACATAAGCATCGTTTGCAAATCGCATGTACTGTAATATTCCTAAATAACTCGAGTTATAAACTAAAGTCAGAAAACAAAAAGAAAGCCTGCCAGATTGACAATTTTCCGATTTAAAAAATATAATAAATCTTAATTTCTCTAGTTCGCACTTGAGGAAGCAATTTGAGTTGGGGGAAAAGTCCAAAAGAACTTACAGAGTAAAGCATCTTAATTTTCGTGGTAACTATGTAATGCTACTGTACTGATCAGAGGATGTAACTGCTGCAGACTATATATATTCTCGACGGAGAGAGGATTTATACGAAAGTCCAACACTTATTACGAAAGTTATAGAAGTTTCCATAGACTCTCACAAATTTGTTTTTAGTATTTCATGAAACTACATTGAAGAAATCGATAACTACATATATTTTCATGAAAATGTGTGATTTTTTTATTTACTTCAATTGCATCGAACTGTATGTTGAGCCGTATGCATATATCCATATTGTAGTTGTTAGGCTTTTATATTTGAAAACAATGCTAATGAAGGCGACATGGCCTTCCAAACAATTGCTCACTTTAAATCACATATAATTTATTGTGATCTTCATTATCAATGCAATAACAATTCGTGCTCTTTCTATCTTCAGTTAAACCATAACGACAATCCTATTTTTATCACCTAATTAAAAGACAAGCAAAATGTGCACACCTTTGATAATGTTTTCTAAGCTGAATACCACTACGCATATCTCTACAACAACTCTGAAGTTTTCAGAAAACAATATTGTAAACAGTAAGTGGAAACCAGTTTGAGGTAATTGTTTGGCAAATTCTTTTATTATGACGGGAAATAATGCGGTAATCATAGAAGATTTCTTACAGAGAATTTAGGATTTCGTTGAAATTACCGATTAATCTTTTGCAGTTTGTTAACTCATCACTGTTTGACATGCAGGTTTAAATAACTTTATGTAAAACACACGTGGATTTATTATACATTTAATGTGCCAATTAATAAAGATTCTTTTTCAGAACTTATTTACAAGGCTATTATCATTAAAAGCGGCATATCTTCCCTGATTAAAAATGCCCGAACACAATGTACAAAACTATATAATGAACATGTTTTATTTTAAGAGCATCTCCATTGTTACTTTAATATGTTTTAAGAATCGTATCTAATTGTACTTATTTATTTTGTTCTGGCTTTTTGGTGGCCCTATTTCAAACACAATTCATTCTCAACTGCTTTAAGAGTGACACGATATTGACACATTGAATGATCCATGAACAATAATTAATTGCTTTAATGATTTATCCTGCTCAACCCCGTGCTAACGTGTATGAATTTAATATTGTCGGCCATTTACATGCTCAAACAAACTGAGTTATCCATATTTCATGTTCGTGTTTATTAATCGCGAACTGATTTGCGGTTCAATTTTCATTTGATTTATTTACCGAATCATTAAATGCAGGCTTTGTCCTCAAAATCAAATATATTAGTTATGTAAAATGAATAAATGCTGCAAGAAAAAAATGTCTTTAAACATTTTAAATCAAAAAGTTAATGTTCATTGTATAAAATCTATTGTATCATGTGTTTTGTTTCTAGTTAAGATTGGTTGTCTAGATCTACTGTTGCCAGAAAACTCTCCAAATCTTGACACGTTCTGTCTAATTTTAAATGATCACATTTAGTTTAAAGATTTTTACAGACGGATGTTGTTCCATCTGCAGTGCACGCTTCATGAATTGTAACATGCAGACAATACATTAGAAAATTCCGATAAATATTCATGATGATGTCACAAGTATTCAACAAGCACCGTTCAATATTGTTTTTATATCACAGACGATTTTTTTTCTGTAAACACGTTTTAAATTAAATTTCTTTCTTGAATTTTATAAACAAATCATTGTTTATAAACAGAAATGAAAGGGTTTGCCAAAAACAAAACTAGTTTGTATTGTTATGCTTTAAAATGACCCGATCGCTTTCATTGCGAAGAAGCGATTTTCAAAACATTTAAAGTCGTTTACAAGTGCTTACTTTAAATCACATATATTTTATTATGACCTTTATTATAAATGCGTTTACCTACGTGCATTTTCTTTCTTTCAATTAAACTTTAATAACATTCCTATTTTTATCACCTATTTAAAAATAATCAAAATTTGCACACCTTTGATAACGTTTTCTAAGCTAAATACCAATACGCATGTCTACACTAAAAGTTTGAAGTTTTAAACAGCCATGTTTCAGACAACAATATTGTAAACAGTAAGTGGAAACTTGTTTGAAGTAATTGTTTGGCAAATTCTTTTATTATGACGGAAATTAATGCGGTTATCGTAGAAGATGACTTACAGAGAATTTAGAAGATTTCGTTGAAATCACTGATTAAACTTTTGCAGTTTGTTTACTCGTCAATGTCTGACATGCAGGTTTATGTTACTTAATGTATAACTCGCATAGAATCATTATACATTTAATGTGCCAATAAATAAAGATACTTCTTCAGAACTAATCAACAAGAATGTTATCATTAGAAGCAGCGAATCTTCCCAAATTAAAAATGCCCGAAAACAATGTACAGAACTAAATGAAATAAATTGTAAAAGCAACTAGCAAAACTAAATCTTTGTTACATTAATGACATGTTTTAAGCATCGCATTGAATTTTAACATTGGTTTGGGTTTAAAGCTTATTCTAATTTCTTATTTAAGTCCATGCGCAATTGCTTCAAGAATGATACGATATTATCACATTGAATGTCCCATGAACAATGTTTAATGAAAGAAATCGACAAAACATAGTAGATATAATGGTAAATTAGTAAATCATATTGCCGATGTTCTTTCTCTTTTGTAACATAGGCAAACACAATCATGTTCCCTGTTGCCACAGTATGAAACCCTACGATATTTCTATCGCTTTCCCTTTCTCTGCCGTCAAATAAGTAAACTCCAGAAAAATGAGGCAATCATTTGGCATGCTCTGGAGTGCTGGTAACTTATAAATGCACTGTGCATACACAATTTAACTCTGGCACATTTTCAAACGAAAGGTACCCAAACTGTGATACAAAAACTTTTTTTAACATGACAAACAATCGTGATTTACATGGTATTGTTCTTTTACTATTGTTAAACCTTACAGTTAAATTGTCATTTGTTTAATGAATAGAAAATTGATTTGGTTAATGATCACGTTCCGCTTACTTAAAAAGTATTGATATAACGAGATCATATTTTTAAATGCAATCGGCCATATAATTATACGCGCTAGTACGGTATGATTTATTTACTTCAGTTTTGAAAGTTGATACTAGTAACCTAGCTACAATAACAAATAAAAAATTAAGGTATTGTTCGTGTTTGGTGAATGAAAATATATAAAGGAAACATGAGGTACATAAATTTGGTAAGTAAAACATAATTTGTAACAGTTATTCTATATAAGCATACGATTTTGATTTATTTTATTCGATTTTCTTAAATAGATAAAGCATAGGTTTGTTATGAATTTTGCCTTAAGATTACTATTTCGATATCACATTACAGACTGTACGTAGTGTTAGGGTTTATGTACATGGTGAAATCATAAAAATATTTGTCTTAATAAAGCAATGGCTAGAGTTTAAATATTTTGAAAGAAACCTTATTATCAAAGATCATTTAAAACACTAGAATCCAAATCGGCACTGGACGACAGCCGGAGCTTTTCCTTGTAATATAATTAAATTAAAAACAATAACATTTATATTTAGTTTAACAAACACATTGTAGTGTGTTTTTAAAATAAAATGTCACCAAAAGAAAAATAAAACATAACCACATGCTCGCACATTTATATATTAATAAATGATTAATACAGGTCTTGTCTACGGAGCCCCTAAGGTGACATTCTCGACACCTTTCCCCCAGCATTTAATTCGTTTTTACGAAATATTAACACGTATTTAAGAAATATTATTTCGTTTTTACGAAACATTAATTGTTATATTTATTCGTTATAACGAAATATTCATTTGTTTTTACTAAACCATTATTCGTTTTTACGAAAAATTAATTAGTAATTACGAAATATTAATTTGTTTTTACGAAATCCTATTTCATGTCATTGTGAGCTTGACAAAGAACCTACTAATCTCTCAAATGGGTCATTTACAAGCCTTGATCAACCTTGCGATTATAAGCCGAATGGTTCTCAAGTTTTTATTTTTAACTGAACAGGGTTTTTGTGTGAGAAGTCATTCTCTATACAAAACGGTCTCTTTTTCCCAATTGTCAAATACATGTTCCTGTCAGCAATGTTTTCATATTTGAGGCAATTAATCTTGTATGACATGTTTCTTTAAAACAGAAACATGTTATATTATTCCTTTCTTTTATCATATACTCATACATTAGTAAAACTAAAGGGGCGAGGGGGGGGGGCCTCCAGCCTTTCACTAATGTAATCAATTTAAAAAAGAACATTTCCTTACAATTTATGTATGGGCACCGTGCGATCATAAAAACATTTTTTTTTTCAAAGCTCAATAATTTCGACAAAACGAAACAGAAAAAAATGTCCGTGCTTGGATTTGAAGCACAGGACCCCCATTCTAACTAAATTTTCCTAGCGCTTGCACTATCACGGCTGTGGCTCAACGCTATTGACAGGCGATTATTATAATTTATATACAATAGTGTTAAGTTAACAAAAACTTGGAGGAAACAAATATGACTATTTATATTGCATTTACATGCCTTATATTCACTCAGGAACTTAGTTTTGAGGCCTATTACCAACTATTACCAAAACTCTTTGAAATCCTAGAAAAAATTAAATTCGTAATTACGAAATAACATTTCGTTTCTACGAATTAATATTTCGTAATTACGAAATAATATTTCGTAATAACGAATTATTATTTCGTAAAAAACGAATTAATATTTCGTAATTACGAATTAACATTTCGTTTTTATGAATTAATATTTCGTAATTACGAATTAACATTTCGTTTTTACGAATTAATATTTCGTAATTACGAAATAATATTTCGTTATTAAGAAATAATATTTCGTAATTACGAAAAAATATTTCGTAATTACGAATTACTATTTCATAAAAACGAATTAATATTTCGTAATTACGAATTAACATATCGTAAAACGAATTAATATTTCTTAAAAAACGAATAAATATTTCGTAATTACGAATTAATATTTCGCAAAAACGAAAACGAATTAAGTTCCGGGGAAAAAAGTGTGGAAAATGTCACCTTAGGGGCTCCGTACTTGTCAGACGAAAAAACATTTAATTGAAGTATTTGCAATGTTTATCCTGTTGTAATTTTAAACCGTTGCAACGTTTTGTTTTGTAAACATTGACTTAAATTATAATCACACCCGTTAACAGATTGCAAGTAGATCAGTTGGCAGTTGGTTGCGGGTAGAACTATTGTAAGCTTTGTATTTTTTATCCTGCAATCGATTGCTCTACAAAATATATCACAGAAAAATATGTCTAAAGAAACAAAACGGAATAACCTTTCTTAGTAATCCGGTTTAAAACACACACCAATATAGTAAGTTCTACCTGTCCTACATCAAGCTGTCCTACTTGCAACATGTTCACGGTTGTGATGAAAAGGGATGTTTGTGTCAAGTGAAACAGCAACTTTTAGATCAAAGTTACAAATTTTACATATATGCTTATTTATACGTACATATTTTGTCAACATATGCGGTTAGACCCATTTTGTGTGGGAAAGTAGCTAAAACATGCCAATGAGGTTTGCTATCAGTTGAATTAATTTCTTTTTATAGTTCAACTGGTCATTGTCATGGATAAAACCTCTTAAAACACTTCAATACATTTAGAATAAACTTCACTGATATCAGTTTATACCAGACTAATGCATAGGTATTTCAAAACAGCTACCAATAGAAATTTAAATCTGGCATGTAATCCTCTAAAACAGTAATATAAATCAAGCTCACGGGGTTAAAATGGCCATACCCCTGGGGGCACTTATTTCATAATGATTTGTAAAACGATGGAAATCAGATCAAAATATAGTCTTCTTTCATAAAACAACAATTCCCAGAGCTAGAATTTTGACATGTAGCATTGCCTCGTGCACCTCTTCAAAAGTTATATAATTTCTAAAGCAATATTGTACTTGTTCTGTAGAAATATTTTTATTTCTTCAAAACAAGTATAAATTCTGATAAATTATTTTACTTGCAATGTAGAAATAGTATATTTGCCCTGTAGGAATTATACCTGTTCTGTAGAAATATTATACTTGTTCTGTAGAAAACTTTAATTATTCTTTTCCAGTGGTAGTATTATACTTGCCCCTTGGAAATATTATACTTGCCCCTTGGAAATATTATACTTGCCCCTTGGAAATATTATAATTGTCCCTTGGAAATATTATCATTGTGCTGTAGAAAATTCTGTAGAAATATTAAACATATTCTGTAAAAAGTTTATACCTGTCCTGTAGAAATATTTATTTTACGCGTGTTATTCCTCTATAGAAATAAGTTTATAGCAGACTTAATTTTCGTAATACGTGTTATATGTACTGTCTTGATTATATATGTGACATAACAATATAACATAACACTTTCCTTAATGGTAAAAAATAATGAAATACCGAATTTCCTTTACAGATTATATATACAATATGTATGTTTCAACTTGTTCACAACACGACAGGAGGTCAGTATTTTTGTTTAAAATAATTTAACTTATGGTTTGGGTATACATTGTATATAATCCAAAACTTAATCGATATTTTCATACTATAATGAACTCTAGACACATTATCACAGTCATCATCTTATAAATACATCATAAACTGTTAAGCAACCAAATTTAAATAATAATGTCATAGCTTTTCATTTCACATTTATGGTAATTCTTTAAGAAAATTTGATTTTATTTATTACAGAGGTTGATGAACAATGTAAAGTAGATTGTGCATGCTGTAAAGATAGAAAATGTGGACCAGACAAATCGGCCCCAACCGAATGTACTCTAGGCTGCATTGATGGTCATAGAGGTGCTCGATGTTACGAGAAATGTACACACAACTGTACAAAATGCCCTGATCGTGCAGATACGTGTACTGCGTGCTATGATGGCTATTTCCCCGGATCTCCTGGAGACTGCACATCAAAGTGTTTACCCGGATGTAAAACATGCACGTCGGGAACCATGTGTACATCATGTCAGGAGGGATATTACAAGGCCGATGGTCAAAAAGATTGTCGTAACTGTCCTGAAAATTGTAATTGTGATAATGTTCAGTGTGCATCATGTAAGGACGGATATTACGATACCGGTAATTTATGTAATAGTTTATGTCCAGGGAACTGTGTCATGTGTTCATCGAATAGGGAGTGTGGATCATGTAAAGATGGTTATTATAATGGTCACCAGAACGACAACATTAATTTCCCTTTATTGAACGACTGTACATACAAATGCCGGGATAACTGTGGACGATGTTTATCATATGATAAATGCTCGCTTTGTAAAACTGGTCATTATGAACCAAACTGTGAGAAAAATTGTTCGATTGGTTGTAAATCAAACACTTGCGATATCCAAACTGGAAACTGTGCATGTTTCCCTTATTTTGCTGGAGTAAGATGTGATAAATGTATAATCGGAAAATATGGAAAAATGTGTGATCAACAATGTCCTGCAGGGTGTAAAAGTAACATGTGTGAAAGAAATTCCGGAAATTGCACAGACGGATGTACTGTAGATACGATTATTGGTGATAAATGTGACGTTTGTTCAACCGGCTGGTATGGACAATACTGTAACATTTCTTGTTCTTTCGGCTGTAAAAGTCAGCAATGCGAGAAAAGTAATGGTGAATGCTCAAATGGATGTATTGATAACTTTGTAGGAGAACAGTGCAATCAATGCATGCATAGCAAGTATAATTTTATTGTTTTAAGTGCTTCCGAGGGATCATCTCTTTTTCAGAATTTTATAGCTACGTGTCAATGTAATATTGTGTCGCCATTGTAGTGATGATGTTAAAGATTGGTGCCGCTGCTGCTGATGATGATTTATGTGTCGCTCTGAAAGACGCGACATATAGGGGTTACTTTTGTCTGCTTGTCCGTTAGGCTTGTCCGGAGGATAACTCGGTCACTAAAAGTAGGATTGACTCCAAACTTGGTATGCATGTTTCTTTAAATGATTCAACGTGCAGCGCACAAAAATCGTTACTCTGCGCTTCTTAATTTTTAAATTATTGTCCTTTGTTAATTTTCATACTTTATTTTTTCCGGGCCATTTCTCATAAACTATAAAAGTTACGGTCTTGAAACTTCAAAGGATGATAGATCTTATAAATCTTATAGATATATCTTATCAAGGTAGACCATGGGTAATGCATTACCTCCACTTTGAAGAGTATTCAAATAGGCTAGAATCGCATGTAAACTACATTGAAATTGAGGGGCGTGGGTTCAAACCCCAGAAGGGGCATCTTTTTTTTTCTTTCTTTTTTTCTTTTTAACATTATTTATGTATCTCTCTGATCCCTTATGGAAGAAAAAAAGTTTGATTTAAATTATAAAATTATTTTAGGTATTTTTTTTGTTAAATAATGCCAAAATTTATAGCAAATATGATACCAGATATTTTCAAAGTTCGATAAAATAAAAACTACACGGTAAAAGTATTTTATATTTCACATGATCAACTAATATACCTTTGAAAAAATTAAGGCAAAGTTTGAAAACAGACCCTCATTTCGATAAATTTTAGGGATATTTTGAACAAGGCATTTTAGATAGGGAAATGGTAAAATTAGTGTTAAAAGTGGGTGGGGTAGGATAACATTTTTATACATATTAAGAACATTTTGTTTAGAAACAAACATTTTGCTTGTTTAATGTGTTACCTGAATGTTATTATTTGTTTCTTAACAATGAGCAATAGAAAAACATTTTTTATAATGATGATATTACAGATTATTTACAGTTTCCTCATTTCTGAAAATAAGCCCTTCTAATGGCAAGGTCTTAGTTCAGAAATATATCCATAACTCATAAACCACACGGTAAATTTAATTTAAATTTTGCATACAGGTAACCTTGAAGACAGATAACTGTCCTATGTTGTCAATTTTACAGTTACTTATGGTGCCCATAACCCATGGTCTACCTTAAGTAGAAGTGCAGAGCACAAGAACCGGTACTTTACACTTCTTATTTTTGGAGCTTTTCTCCTTTGACAATTTCCATACTCTATTTTTCTCCGCACCATTTCTACTAAGCTTTAAAAGCTATGGTATTGAAACTTTATAGGATGATAGATCTCAGTAATCAAAAGGGCTTCTTATTTTTTAAATTATTTTCCTTTGTTTTTTTTATACTTTTGCCCGGGCCATTTCTCCTAAACTATAAAAGCTATGGACTTGAAACTTCAAGAGGTCACAGCTCTAATTGCAATAGATCTAAGTGCAGCTTTCGACACCGTTGACCACAACATTCTACTCGACGTGTTACACAGTCAGTACGTAGTCAATGGTACCGTGTTAGCTTGGGTGGACTCGTACCTGCGACCTCGTAGCTGTCGCGTCAGTGTTAATTCTACTGAATCGACTCCACGATTGCTGGAATGCAGTGTACCTCAGGGGAGCTGTCTTGGTCCGTGGCTCTATCTCACATATGCGGGAACCCTATTTGATGTGATACCACCATCCATATCTGTGTACGGCTTTACTGATGACCACATTGCTAGTCAACGCTTTCTACCAACTTCAGTGACCAATGAACTTAACGCTATAAAGCAACTTGAAGACAGTGCTGTAATCATCAATGACTGGATGAATGCCAATAAACTCAAAATGAACACCACTAAGACAGAATTCATTATGTTTGGTAGTAAAGCCCAACTTGGTAAATGTTCAATTAAAGAAATTGATATCGCCGGTGATAAAATTCAAAATGTCAGTGTCATAAGATACTTAGGTGCCTACTTAGACGAGGGCCTAAGATTCTCAACACATGTTAAGACCAAGTGTAGAACTGCTATGTTGAATTATTTGAGAATAAAGAGCATTCGCAAATATCTGACTCAGGACGCCACAAAAATCCTAGTATTGTCGCTTGTAATCTCACATTTGGATTATTGCAACGCTATATTTTTTGGCATTTCAGAAAGTGAGTTACAGAAATTACAGCGTATCCAGAATATGTGCGCTAAACTTGTTTTGCAACGCGGAAAATATGATAGTTCCAAAGACTCTTTGTTGGAACTCTTTTGGTTACCAATTAAAGCTTGGATCAATTTTAAAATACTATGTACAATGTATAACTGTTTTATGGGCAATGTTCCGGTTTATCTAACAGAACTGTTACACAAGCCTGTCATAAAAAGACCAAATCTCAGATCTGTTGATAATATGGATTATTGTTTTGCTGTCCCCTTTAACAAAAGGAAAACATTTAACGACAGAAGTTTTAGTACCGTTGGTCCAACTCTCTGGAATAAATTGCCTCTGTATATAAGACAGTCTTCGACTTTGGACATGTTCAAGAAAAATGTCAAAACCTACTATTTTAGAGATTTTTACGCATTGTTTTAAGATTGTGATTGGGCTGTAAACTAATAGAGATGTGGAAATGTGTCTGAAATTTTACTGAAATAACCATTAATTTTTATTTTCTTTTAAATTATTTTTTATTGTTATTTTTTAACTATTCTTTCTTTTTTTAAAGTTTTTAATACTTTATATTTTACACGGCTGATATCTTTAACATATTTTTTTGTAGTTCATTTGCCATGCATATGTGTTTTTTTTTATCTATATGTACATACTTTTATTATCCTTTTGTACAACGCCATTGAATATGTATATAGAAATAGGCGTTTAATTAAATAGAACAGTTTCAGTTTCATAGGATGTTGGGTGTCGTTGAGAAGGTAAGCTGTACACAAGAACCGGTACTCTTTACTTCATGGTTTAAGAGTTATTGCTCTTTGTTTATTATTATACTTTATTTTTGTCCGGGTCAATTCTCCTACACAATGATAGCTTTTTCAAGCTACATCAATCCTGATAAAACATTGTTACAATCAGTGCAAATGCTACTAAAGTTCAAAGTACATGTACAATTTAAGGTAAGTGTTTATAAATAACCTATATTTAAGACGAAAATGTGTAAGTGACAGCTTTATGCTCACAAGGCGACACATCCGACTCGCGGAGTTCTAGTTAAATGGTTATATTATTATAGCCATATAATGCAACATAAGAAAACTATATTAATGCAAAACATATAGTATAATATATTCTGGTAAATCTATAGAGATACTACATGCAGACATTTTTAAATATGTATTATACCAATGTAGCACGCTGTTGTTTCTCTATTCAGATAATTGTTTTATTTACCGATGTTTGTTTTTACTAAAACATATTTTAGATTCAAGTTCAGTAAAAACATATGCAATATTATTTGGAACAAGTCTTGCTGTGTCAGTTATTGTTAATATTGTGGCTGCGTTTTTTGGCATGAAATATGTAAAGATGAGGTAAATATTGTTTATATATTTAATCTAATTATAATCAAATATAAAATTAAGTAGTCAAAGATTCACAAAATTAAGATCACTGCCAACGTCGCAAAATTTGCCATCCGCAAAAATTATCTGATATACGTTATTAACTTCAGCAATCATCAGAAAGTAATTAATTCATAAAAGGCTGTGAGAATGACGACATTTCAAACACGCGTTTTTTTCTAACATGAAGGATGGGGGTATAAGAAGCACGGTATAAACAGGAAATAATCCTGTTTCATATGCAAGAAATACCGGTCTAACCCGACAGCCGGTGTTAGATTCTTATATTATCTACTTACATGTACATATGCCATGTACTTTCTAAGACTAACATGCTTTATATAAGGTTGGTCAGCAATTTTGTTTCTGTTTCATTATGATATACATTTGTTTCTCTAACAAGAACAATAAGCAGCAAAATAATCTTTATGAAATGAGTCAAAATGTAATTTCATTTGCATTTAAGGGCCAATGAGAATAGGAATATGAGGAACAGGAATAGATATCATGATGAAATGGCTGGTAAATATATATCTGAAGTTTTACTGATTTTTATTTCCTTTTTTATTCATGAATATCATATTCTTCATTTCTCATTCTAAACGTGTTAGTTCTTAATTAAATGAATCGCGGCCAAGATCAAATAAAGTTCTTCCACCGATTTTTAAATTGCATAGGTTATATATCAAAATAAACTATTCTAAACTAATGATTAATCATTTAGATTGCATCAAATTGTTATCGAAATTGTTTAAAATATTTTGATAATATGAGCCGTGACATGATATTTCCAACATAGTGGTCAAATGTTGTGATCGTACAAATGTGACGTTAAAGTTGACGCCAATTTTTTATATAAACAACGCGCGTTTTTTCAATCAGCTGTGCAGTTTGCGCGCAATAAAATGATAAAATGTTTCACCATATTATGACCGTTTTCCGCGGTTTAAAATGACTCATTTTTACAGAGTAAAGATAAAGTAAAAATGCGCATATATACTTGTTCTGGTAACCTTAAGACCCTGACAAATCACTTGCTAAATCGTACCAAGAAAGAAAATAACAAGGAAAATATAAGTTGACAAAACTAAATTTATCTATTCAAACTACCCTTGCAACAGAAAACACTTTCAGTGCTGACTTACTTTAAATAATTCAATAACAATTAACTACATGTCTTCTTTGAGTGTTATTTTATTTCCAGTGTCAAGATGTTTTCCAAATATTTCTCTTTATTGTAACATCTCGTGACTGTTGTGTATATAAATTAAAACGAACGCTTTAATGTAAATCTAACAAGTAAGATATCACTTCACTTATATCATTGTTTTTTAAAACGGACACTCCAAACAAGAGTATATAATTGAGAGACAATTGTTGAGTGGAGTGCGTAAGACGTTGTTGAAATCCAGTCAATTTTTAAAATAAACAATGCTTACATTTACCCGTTTAAATTGGCCTTCCGCTCTATCTCGGAAATGCCGTTTGTTCGTTTTACCGTAAATCACAATTTTGAAGAGAAGCGACAGGTTGCCCGGCGTGTATTAACTCTGTTAAGTTGCATTAAGAATAACAGGCTCAAAAATGGTTTATTTTTCAGCATCAAACAGCGACACTGTGTTTAGGTCACATGACTATGGGGATCTTGGAAGAGCTCAAGGTATTTGCGGATAAATTGTTCGTAACATCGTAACGTAAATACCTAAGTAGTTTATTATCAGTATATAGAATGATCAAATCTATCCTTTTCATTACATTTTAATTGGTTTCATAAAATGATTTTTGAAATATTTGCATTGGTTTTCGTTCTTTTTTCATGTTTACAGAAGCCGAGCATAGATATGCCCAAATTAGTCAAGACACTGGACTTCATTGATGGACTTCTAACAGTTAGCATTGGCAACTGAACAACAACACTTATTGTCACTTGCTTAAAAAGTGTTATGTCAATAGAGTAACAATTTGAATTATAAACAGTGGACTACATTATAACAAAAATAAAAATCATTGTGAATGGTGAATACCTATAGTGCTGAATATCTGTTTGTTATTTCGATGTGTTAAAAGCGGCCTTTAGCTTCATTCTGTGTTGTTTCGAACTAAAAAAGTATTAAGCTCTGGAATAGATTGGTTACTTTTTGTTTGATTATATTAGTCAGTTGCTAGAAAATGTGCAAAATACTCGAAAGCTTAAAATTTTGCAAATACTCTCAATGCATTATCAATACAGAAAACTGTGTTTAATTTGTTTTGTCGAAATATGAACGCTCTAATATAGCCGATTTGTGTGCGGGATTCATCCACTCAGAGTCGAAACTTGAAGATATATTGCAGACCTGTTGAATGACAGACTTTGTAGGATATGTTATGACAGTTGTGTTAAAAACGAAGTACATTTCTTGCTTAATTGCCCAAAATATAATTAGATAAGATCGAGGTCACTGGGTGAAATATTAAATGTTGAAGTATTTATGGATTTGAGAGCCGATGACAAATTAATCTTCTTCTTCTCAAATCACGTTAGAAAGATTGCAAAATACTTAGTGAAAGTTCAT